AATATTTTCTCCCACTCTGTTGGTTGTCTTTTAGCTCTGTTAATTGTTTCTTTTGCTGTGCAGAAGCTTTTTAGCATGATATAATCCCATTTGTTTATTTTTTCCTTTGGTTGCCTGTGCTTTGGGGGTTGTATTCATGAAGTCTGTTCCCAGTCCAACTTCCCAAAGTGTTTTTCCTATGTTTTTTTAAAGAAGTTTTATTGTTTCAGGGTGTATATTTAATTCTCTAATCCATTTTCAGTGATTTTAGTATATGGTGAGAGGTATAGGTCTAGTTTCATTCTCCTGAATATGGATAGCCAGTTCTCCCAGCACCATTTGCTGAAAAGGCAGTCTCTTCCCCAGTGTATAGGCTTGGTGCCTTTGTCAAAGATCAGCTGGCTGCAGGTGTGTGGGTTGGTTCCTGGATTCTCTATTCTATTCCGTTGATCAGTGTGTCTATTTTTATTCCAGTACCATGCTGTTTGGGTTATTATAGCTTTGTAGTATAGTTTAAAGTCAGGTAGTGTTATGCCTCCAGCTTTATTTTTTTTGCTCAGAATTGCTTTAGCTATGCATGGTCTTTTGTTATTCCATATAAATGTCAGGATAGTTTTTTAAAATTCTGAGAAAAATGTCATTGGAATTTTGATGGGGATTGCATTGAATTTGTATTTCACTTTGGGTAGTATGGGCATTTTCACAATGTTGATTCTTCCAATCCCAGAGCATGGGATATCTTTCCATCTTCTTGTGTCCTCTTTAATTTCTCTCAACAGTGGTTTGCCGTTCTCAATGTAGAGATTTTTCACATCCTTGGTTAACTCTGTTCCTAAGTATTTTATTTTTTTGGTGTCTATTGTAAATGGTCTAGCTTTCTTAATTTCTCTTTCTGCATGTTCATTATGGGAGAATAGAAATGCTGCTGATTTTTGTGTGTTGATTTTGTATCCTGCTACTTTGCTGAAATCATTTATCAACTCCAAGAGTTTTTTTGTAGAGGCTTTAGGCTGTTTGATATATAGGATCATGTCATCTGCAAACAGGGACAGTTTGACTTCATCTTTTCCAATCTGGATGGCCTTTATTTCCTTCTCTTCTCTGATTGCTCTGGCTAGTACTTCCAACTCAATGTTGAATAGAAGTGGTGAGAGTGGGCATCCTTGTCTAGTTCCTGTTCTTTTAAAACATTTTTAAATTTTAATTTTATTTTTGCTTTATTTTATTTTGTCAATGTACAATGTGGTTGATTATTCCTGTTTTTAAGAGAAAAGTCTTCAGCTTTTCCCCATTCAGGATGATATTGGCAATTGGCTTATCATATATGGCTTTAATTATGTTGAGATACTTTCCATCTATGGGATGATATTGGCGGTGGGTTTGTCATATATGGCTTTAATTATGTTGAGATAGATTCCATCTGTATATACCTAATTTGTAGAGAGTCTTTATTATGAACAAGTGTTGAATTTTATCAAACACTTTTTCAGCATATATAGAGATGATCATATGGCCCTTGTGTTTGATTTTATTGATATAGTGTATCACATTTATTGATTTGCATAGGTTGAACCAACCTTGCATCCCTGGGATGACTCCCACTTGCTTATGGTATATAATTTTGTGTATGTGTTGCTGTATTCTGTTAGCTAGTATTTTGCTGAGGATTTTTGTGTCTATATTCATCAAGGATATTGGCCTGTAGTTTTCTTTTTTTGTTGTATCTTTACCTGGTTTTGGTATCAGGGTGATGTTTGCTTCATAGAATGACTTTGGGAGAACTGCCTCTGTTTCAATCTTTGAAATAGTTTGCAGAGAATTGGTGTAGATTCCTCTCTGAATGCTCGGTAGAATTCTGCTGAGAACCCATCTGGTCCTGGGATTTTCTTTGTTGGGAGCCTTCTGATAACAACTTCAATCTCTTTTATTCTTATTGGTCTGTTCAGATTTTCTTTCTTTCTTTTTTTTTTTTTTTTGTCTTTTTCTGTGTCCGGCAACGGATCGCAACCCTCAGTGTCGCCCCCGTACCGGACCGGGACCGGCAACGGGATCGCAGCCCTCGGTGTTGCTCCGGCGCCTCGCTCAGCCAGTGAGCGGGAACAAGTCTGTATGTGGGATCCGAACCCTCGGAGGGAGCGCCGCCGCGCTTCCCAAGTGGTGCACTATAGCAGTGCGCCACCGGGCCGGCCCCTGTTCAGATTTTCTAGTCCAGTCAATGCCCTCCTCCCCTGCCAGCCTCCCCTGACTGCTCTGCTAGCCCCCGAGCTGAGCCTTCTTCCTGTCAGCCCTTGCGCTTGCCCCTGAGAGTGTGTCCCCAGCCAGCGGTAGGGACGGACATATGGACTCACACCCTGCATGGTTAATTTACAGGACCCTCTTTGTGCTTTTACAATTGAATTCTAGTTTTATGTCATTGTTTCTTTCAGTGATTCTCTGGGAAGAGAATCATAAGATGCCTGCACTAGATGGAACCTCAGAGATCAGCGGACCCAACCTCCTTATTTACAGATGGGGAAATGGAGGCACAAAGCCACTGAGTGGCAGCACCAGACCTGGATCTCCCATCTCCTCACTTCTAGGCTGGAACTTACTCCCTGCCTATGTTTCCCACTGCTTTCTGCTTTGCTCTAACTCCTCTTTGGCCCTCCCCAAGCCTGTTGGTCGTTTCCTGAACCGCACTCTGTTTTTACCAGGTGCCTGGATTTCAGCCCTGACGAGGTGGTTAAAGGGAGTTATTCAAGCAGAAAAGCTCAGGTTAAATCCATAACATGAAGGCCAGGAAGCATGAGAGCAGCAGTTGAATATAAAAAGAAAGTAAGATTTCTGGTCAAGATGGCAGAATAGATGGTCCCCAGCCTCACTCTCTCCCCCAAATCAACCAATTTGCAACTATAAAAATACAACATCAGCCAAGCTGGGGCCACTGGAGCTCAGGGGAAGAGGAGGAGAGACCTATGGAGTTCATGACGGCAGGAGAAACCACGATGAGAGAAAGAGAAAACTGCTCAGAGCTTTCAGGCTGCAGCAGCTTTAATGCTGGAGCTGCTGAGCACGTGGAGCAGGAGCCTGCAGAAGCCATAGTCGTACCCTTCAGATGTAGTTGCTTGGAGGCGGCAGGAGAGAAGAGGGCCTCGGTGGCCCCCAGGACAGCAAGACCACTAACAGGGTTCCTGTGAACCCATGCAGGAGTGAGGAGCCAGAACAGCTGAAAAAGGGGAGCCATTCAGAGGCCAGTGAGTCAACACAAGGGACAGATGCAGGGCCCATCCCATGGGAAGTGTTTGGCACATGGGCAATGTGGAAGACAGGCCCACCAGGAGAATGCTGGGACACAGCAAGAACAGCCAATCCTCCCCCTAATCAGTGCAGGACCACTCAGAGGAGACTGGTTGGGAATGCAGAATTGCACGGGGTACAGTTTGATGAAAAAAAACGCAGGCCCAGATCAGAGTTTCTACACAACCCAGGTACACCAAGTCTCTGGAGAGCCAGAAGTACCTATAAGGTCAACTGTTAAACCCTGAGCTGCACAAAAAGCCTTCCCTAGGGAAACAGCAGCAAAGCAGCAATTTAGCTCAACCACAGAGCTCAAGTGCTAGCTCCCATAGGAAGTTCCCCCATGTTAGAAGTAAGCAAAGGACAAAAAATTAGTTCCAGCCCAGGCATACTACAAGTACCTTGGGCATGCAGCCAGGGACTGGACAGCCTGCCCACAACCAGGCACTCTGCACCAGCGCCTCGGGGCTCACCTGGGAACCCAAGGCTTTGAGAAGAGGAGCAGACCCCTCTCCCACAACCAGGCACACCACACCAGTGCCTTGTGGCCCACCCAGGGACCTGAGGAATGGAGCCAGTGACTGGATTCCCTCCCCCCCAACCAGGCACACCACCAGTGCCTCGGGGCCTGCCCAGGAACCCAAGGTATGGAACAGGGGACCAGACATTCCCCACAACCAGGCACATTGCCAGCACCAAGGAGAATGCCAAAAACATCACCTTGATGTGGGTGGCCCACCACAGCCACCACAATAACCATGGCTGTTGCAAAAGTGGCTGGACACCACAATGACCGTGCAGATGGTCCATCAACCACTGGAGTGCACTGACACAAGGAAAGTCACCAGCAGAGATAGAGAAATGAAGAGGACGTCTATCTCCACAAAGCCCATTGCAGAATGACATAAGAAGCATCTGCTCTGTGATAATATTGGGGGACCTGACCACACCTCTCAGCATTGACAGATCATCTAGGCAACAAATCAAGAGAGTAACCATTCTTTCAGAAGGAGAGAAGAAATCTAGGGTAATTAGAGGGGGGAGCGGGGAGAAACAGGGGGATGAGGAGTGATTGGACAAGGGGCATAAAGAATAATTATGATTTGTAACAATATATATGCAAGTAATATTGATTTGATCAACATATCTCAATGTTGAACCCCCAAAATATGTATAATCAATTTTGATTCAATAAAATTTTTTTAAAAAATAATAAAAAGAAAGTAAGGAGAAAAGCATTAAAGAAAAAAACTTGCAAAAGAGAGGCAAACATTAGACACTGTGGGGATTAGAGGAAAAGCTGTCATGGTAGAGACAGTGATAGCAGGCAGCAGAGATCAGAAGTAGACCTTAGAGGGTATGGAAAGCATCGGATATTCTGATGGCCACAAAAGAAACAATGACAGAGAAGAAAGAGCTACAGCTCTGCAGCTCCATGCCTTAGCACACACAGGAATGTCTACTATGCAGCGGGGACAACAGCCACCTCCTCCTACGTGCCCCTCAAAGCAGCAGCCCCTCCTGTATGGTCCTCTTAACAAATATTAGTCAAACAAGCCTGGGAAATGCTCCAGTCTCTATCTGCCCTCTACAGTCCCTTCTTAGGGATTCATAATGCCTTCTAGCCTACTTAAGGACCCAAAAAGTTCTGTAGAAAAACAGCAACCAAAAAAGACTACAACCCCCAACTCTGTTTAAGGCACAGTTTCCCAAATTTATTTGAACAAATAATACCAGTTAACGGAAACACACTTTGGGAAAGTGTCCTAAGGATATCAGTAAGTAGTACTGACAGAATACCTAGTAGTGCCCCTCAGTATTTAGAAAAGCAACATACTCATTTAGGATGACAGTACACCGTAACAAGTTGAATCACACTTGCAATACTTGGCTTTTAAAACCCAAAACTGGGACACGATACATTTTAGTACTCTTTTGCTCCCTGATTTACAAATTTATATGAAAAAGTAGTGAATGAGCTAAAGCTCAGGGTTTAACATATCTAGGTACAAATCCTTATTCTCCCACTTAAAATGATGTGGAACCTCCGAGAAGCTACTTAATCTTTCTAAGCCCCAGTTTCCTGCTCTACAAAATGGGAGTGATAATAGCTGAGACTCATCTGCCATTGTTCTCTCATGTCCCTACACATCTTGCGAAGTCTGCCAAAAATGCAAGGTCCAGAGCACTCTGAGCCAGTTTTTAGGGCTGTGTTTGCAGGGAGTAACCTTGGGGGAGAAGGCTGAGACTCATCTGCCATTGTTCTCTCATGCCCCTACACATCTTGCGAAGTCTGCCAAAAATGCAAAGTCCAGAGCACTCTGAGCCAGTTTTTAGGGCTGTGTTTGCAGGGAGTAACCTTGGGGGAGAAAATAACGTGTCCCTCTGGGACAAAGAGTAGGCTTGCTCACAGGCTGCACATTTCCCAGGCTCTCTGTTCCTCTCCTGTGAGGTATCCTTCTGCCTTTGTAATCATACATCTAAGACTGCCCCCATCACCCTTGTGGAAAGTGGGGCTAGGGACCTGATGCAACAAGGCTGAAACTCTGGCCACTGCTTTTGCTCTGAATAATAAATGTCTTTTGTCTCTGACTTAGGAGTCTCATATCTTCTAGAAGCATTCATGAAACTGGGCATTTGTGAGCTTGCATGTAGGGGAAAATCTCAGATCTTTCATATGTTTTGACAAATAGTATTTGTTGCACAGAATTTCTGAGAAAACTAAATATTATAAAGCAAGTAATATGCTTAACCCAGTGTTGGGTACCCAGTATGCCTTTATCAAGCATTAGCTATTTATAACTATTATGAAAAGTATTATGAAAGAATAGAAATTAGAGGTAGACATTTAATGAATCAAAAATAATAATTCTTATTAAAAAGATTAAGTCATCCCAAGAAGTTATTATAGTCTCCTCAATTTAAAAACTGAAGAATTCTGAACTATAAAATGCTAATCAGTAATGTTTCACATTTCCACAATGTATAAAACAGGAGAAAAGAAGGCACCTGCTTGAATGGCTCTGGTGGTGTGTTAAAATACATCACTAAGTCTGCACATACCAGTTCTTTTGCTTCTTCAAGCTGTTTCTCCACATTTGCAACCATCTGTTTCTTCTCATCTGAAATAAACAATAATATCAAGGAATTGCTAAGGATACAAATAACTTTAATATTTAAAAACTTCTATTTTATATACCTTTTTCCTTTCTGCTCAGATTAGAGAATAAGCATATCATTCTTTGGTGGGTTAGAAACCACTTTAAGCCATTGATTCTAGGCTATCTGGAAATATATAATCCTATAGAGTACCTAATTATTAAGAGAAGCCATGTATTTTTTAGAGAGACTGAAAATTATTTTGTTCTTTAGGTGAGACTATGTCATCAACAGCAGATTTAGTGGTGTGGCCTGAGGAATCTGCAAAGTCTTAACTTTAATAAATTGGGAATAACTGATTTACAAATGTAATTTAAAAGTCACATGCAAAAACATTCCCTAAGAGTGGGCAAGATCTTACAATCCTTTAAAAAACTTTTTTTATTTCAGAAGTATTAAGAATCAAGTGTAATAGAAGAAATATTTGAAGTCAGAACTATTGATTCCAAACCCAAAGCCACTATTTTAATCACTGGTTTGATTTTAATCACTATTTTGATCCTGGGCAAGAAATAGTTTTTTCTGAGACTCAGTCTGTACTCTCTAAAATGGACATAACAAATATAGATTGGATTATTTTTAGCTCAAATAAACTAGATGCAAGTGAAATTACTTTTAAATTGTAGTGCTCACTCAGTCTCTGTATGTGTTTTATTTAAACTCTGTCATAATCGAGTTATAACCCAACTGTAATTCTCTTCTCTAGGAAAGACATGTCCTGGCAAATAACCTCGGAAAACTTTCCCATACCCCCATGGCAAATCAATCAACCCATCTCTTCACAGACTCCAGCTAAGTTTTGTGCTAATCAAATTTATTAAACATTTATAGTTTTATCAGCCTAGCACCCTTTTCTTCTCAGGCAATAGCCTCCATTCTTCTGAGGCTCCCTCTTCCCCATGCAGGGCAATGGGAAATGCTATCTCCTTATATGCTCCTGCCTGTTTGGTCACAGTGACTTGGCAAGTGATGGGCATCTCATCCTAGCTGGTTTAATCTCAGTAGCTCGATTTCTCTGGCTGCACTGGTCTCAGGAGGTGGGAGTAGGGTAGGCATATGACCCAAGGAGACCAATCAAAGTTCCAGAGCAAGGGGAAGGAAAGTCTTTTCCCTTCTCCTGGTAATAAGAACATGACCCTAGAAAGCTACTGGCATCCATTGGTCTAGCTCCAAGGACAAAGCAAGTTCCAATAGATGAAAATAAAGACTGCATTTAGAAAGAAACAAAGCTGAGAACAGAGAGATACAGTTAGTTCTTGGTTATAAATAACTGAAACAGCTTGACTTTATGAAAGCTTGACTTTACCATAGTTTGGTTTCTTGAACAAACAATTTATTCTTCTTTATTTAAAATTGGGTTTATGTCATATGGAACCTAATGATACTGACAGACTAATACAACCAACTAGAAAAGTCATGAAGCTTGAAATGGGTACACCACCTGCTAGCTCACTAGCCCTTCAGGAGGACAGTCAATCCTAAGTGTGGAATCTTTAGTAGGAACTATTATTTTACTAGAATAATAATTAAAACCGCAACCCCTTCCCTTTGTTACTCCCAAACTGTGCAGGGTGGGGTGGGGTAGGGTACATGTCACATGTTTGCATGCATTCTAAATATTTCTCCCTAAGAAAAATACATATTGGAATTAGAATTCAGCTTGATTTTCCCTCCTTGAAAAAGTTAAATCTACATATGGCTAGATTAAAAATTAAATATTGACTCCAAATTTATTTGCTTCTGGCCTATTTCAATCCTTCCAACATCTCCACACAGTTATAGTAGAATAGCATTGATTTTTGTGATAGAGTGAAATACAAAACAAGACAAGCCCATCTTGGATTCAAGAATAAGATTATGTATTTACATATCAGAAGGAACATCTTGTTTTCTTTAAGGTATTCAGTTGTTAGGAAAGTCCATGCCAAGGACTTCCAAAAATAATATGATCAGTTTTTCTCATTAACAAAACAAAACAGAGATGCCTCCCTTGACCTGTATTTCCCTTTGCTAGTAATATCTCTCTCCTTTCATCCACGGCCAATTTTCTTGCAAGCAAGGGTAGACTCTATTTCCCTTCCTCACCTCCCCATCCACTTCCTGCCCCCACCATAATCCAGTTCCTGCCCCCACCATTCCACTGAAATGACTCTCATTGACATTAATAACTTTTCCATTGCCCAAACTAATAGACATTCTTTTTTTTTTTTCCTTTTTGTCTTTTTTCGTGACTGGCAACGGATCGCAACCCTCAGTGTCGCACCCGTACCGGATCGGCAACGGGATCGCAACCCCTGGTGTTGCTCTCGCACCTCGCTCAGCCAGTGAGCGGCCGGTCTGTATGTGGGATCCGAACCCTCGGTGGGAGCGCCACCGCGCTTCCCAAGCAGCGCACTGTAGCAGTGCGCCACCGGGCCGGCCCCTAATAGACATTCTTTGGTCATGTTTTTATTTAATCTTGTGGCTCTGACACTGCTCCTCCCATCCTGTAATTTTCTCCTCTCAGGTTTCCATGAACACTGATTTTATAATTCTTCTAAACACTTGCTTCTGTCTCAGTGTCCCCGCCCACAAATCCTCTTCCTCAACTGTTGATGTTCCTTCGAGTTCAGTCCTTGCTTTTCTTCTTTTATGACTATTGTCTATATCTCTAGGCAATTACATCAATTTTCAAACTATCATATCATGTATTTGTGATCCTAAGTCATTATCTACAATTCTGATCCATTTCAGGACTCCAAGTCTTTAATCCCAATGCTTATGCCCATCTCCATCAAGATCACTTGCAAAACAGGCACTCAAAACTCTCTTCAGAAATCACCACCTCTTTAAAGCCTTTCCTAACCCAACAAAAAAGTTAATCTCTTGCTCTTACATAAAATACCTATAACGCTCACATAATCCTAATGATTTATCTCTCACAGTAATGGGTCTTACTAATCTTTCAGCTTGGGGGCTCTGGGAAGAAAGGAATCATGTCTTAATCACCTTTATAATTCTAAGATCTAGCACTGAACCTGGTATAATCAGTTCTCAAAAAATGATGGTAAATTGAATGAGAAAAGCAGAACAGTGCAAGTATTAACAAAAGAAGCTGTTACCAACAACCCTGGTATCCCTGTCTCCATACCTGTCTCCCTCTTCCATTTAATCTTCCTACAATTTGGTGTTGTTGAGATCACTTGAGCCTAGCAGTCAAGGCCCTCCACATTCAAGACCCAAGCAACTTTTCCAATTTTATCTCCAACTACAAGCTCTCCAGTATGTACTATACATACTAACCAGACAGACTATTCATTATGACCCAAACTAATTTCATTTTTTTTCCTTCTCTGAACTTTTTTTTTGTCTTTTTTCGTGACCGGCAACGGATCGCAGCCCTTAGTGTCGTGCCCGGGCCGGGACCGGCAACGGGATCGCAACCCTCGGTGTGGCCCCCGCACTTCGCTCAGCCAGTGAGCGGCCGGTCTGTATGTGGGATCCGAACCCTCGGCGGGAGTGCTGCCGCGCTTCCCCAGTGGTGCACTGTAGCAGCGCGCCACTGGGCCAGCCCCCTTCTCTGAACTTTTTTTTTGTCTTTTTTCGTGACCGGCAACGGATCGCAGCCCTTAGTGTCGTGCCCGGGCCGGGACCGGCAACGGGATCGCAACCCTCGGTGTGGCCCCCGCACTTCGCTCAGCCAGTGAGCGGCCGGTCTGTATGTGGGATCCGAACCCTCGGCGGGAGTGCTGCCGCGCTTCCCCAGTGGTGCACTGTAGCAGCGCGCCACTGGGCCAGCCCCCTTCTCTGAACTTTTTTTTTGTCTTTTTTCGTGACCGGCAACGGATCGCAGCCCTTAGTGTCGTGCCCGGGCCGGGACCGGCAACGGGATCGCAACCCTCGGTGTGGCCCCCGCACTTCGCTCAGCCAGTGAGCGGCCGGTCTGTATGTGGGATCCGAACCCTCGGCGGGAGTGCTGCCGCGCTTCCCAAGTGGTGCACTGTAGCAGTGCGCCACTGGGCCAGCCCCCTTCTCTGAACTTTTTTAAAGCTACCATTTAAGGTCCTTCGGTTGAATGCAACAGAACAGATTCTAGCTAACCTAAGCCAAAAAAGAAAATGTATTAGAATAATGTAGGGTGGTTCACAGAGTCAATGGAAAAAAATGAGCCACCAAGCTTGGGGAGAACAGTATCAGGGGTGGTTCAGGGCACCAGAAAGCAGGAACTCACTGACAACCTCTACTAAAGAAAAGTCTTGAGCAGCTTTAACTAGACTCTCTTGGTTCACTCTGCTCAAAATTCAAAATCTTGGCAAAAATTCTCAGAATATCCTTGCTTGGGTACCATGTTCATCTCTTAACCTGGAGAAGACAGGACAATCTGTCAGTTCCACCAAGACTGGAGTAAGGCGGGTTGATGGTTGTTCCTCAACGGAAAACTGAGGTACTGTTTGTTATCAGAAGATGGAATGGAGGGTGCTGCACACAGCAGATGTCCACTGCACCCATTTATTGCAACCTCTTATGATACAGTGTTTCCCTGTTTCTGTCTGTCCAAACCCCATTTATCCTTCCAGGAGATCTCCTGGGACACAATCTCACCTCCTCTGAATTCCTAGAGCTCTTTGCTCTGCTCTAGTGAGCCTGATGGTCATAAGAGATTAGTTTCTGTAGTTTTTTCTTTTGCTTTATCTCCAGCTCCTCAAAGGCAGAAACCATTCTTGACATATCTTTGTCCTACCTCTGTATTTAGCACAGAGAGCAGGACATGGTAGCAGTTCACTAAATGTTTACTGAATGAATCAATCAGTTTTAGCATTTAGCAATATATTTGTTATTCACAGAGAAACTGAATAAAAGAAAAATAGCATATATTTACACACACATACATACACGCACACACAAGATATAGATCTATAGATATATGCATATATATACACATATTTGTTTATATATATGTGTATATTATTCAAAGATGAATAAA